AAGATACTTTTGAGTAGTTTTTATCTTAATAAATTTTATCAGTTTACCTGAATAACTTTGGTCTGCATTCCTTTATTCTTAGGAAGAATCTTGAGAAAGATTCACTTATATGTATTAAATCTTTCATGTAGAAACCTGTGATAATGGGAGATGGTAGGATTGTATTACCCTTACCCAAGTTCCTCTCTAAGGAGTTTGGAAAGCAATGGGGCAGTATTTTGCACCTCAGGATTCATCAAGAAAGATTTTCTAAGAGATTTTGTCTGCAGCTCCCACTATGCCCAGGAGAATACCCTTCTAAAAACTTGGAGGCTTTCAGGTAAAATTATCACCTTTCCCTTTTAAACTATCTCAGATTGTCTATCAGAGATGCTGCCTTCTACTGCTGTGTTACAACAGACTCTCCCTCAAATGTGGTCATTTTTCCTCTCTAAATTACCCTAAACTCACCCGTCCAGAAAGTGTTAATTTTTTAGCTAGGTGTTTTAGCTAGATTTCCTCAGGTTTTCTGAAGAGAAAGTCACTTTGGCACCCCCCAAAAGAGAGACTCTGATTTTCCCTCCAAATCATCCCCTAGTCATGTCCTATACATCACCTAAATTTTATCCCAAAAGTGTTTGTTTTCTTCCCCCTACACTTTTTCAGATTTTCCCTCTAGAATATCTCCTACAGATTAACACAGACTTTGCTCCTCAAAAGTTCTGTATCATAGAAATTCCTTTTTTACTTTGATTTATTTCATTGCAGATTAACTGAGATTTCAAATGAAAAATGTTCCTTCTGGCCGTTCAAATTACCTCAGGTTTTATCACAAAACTGCCTCTGCCCCACCTCCCCAAAATACCTCAGACTTTTCCCCAAAAGCCATTTTGTTGTCTAGAGATCCCCTGTCATTTTCTTGCCAAAAACTATCTGCTCTATGACCTCCATATATGACCGCAGCTTTTGACTCTCAGGTCCCCTCAGAGGAACACGGGGCACCTGCCTCCCCTCAAACGACTCTTATATTTCCCCTCAGAGGAACACAAGCAGCATTTGAATCCTAAGCCGTATGTAACAAAAGGCTACACGTTATATTGTATCAAGCAATGGTAACAAGTAATATTGTACCAAGAGGTGCAAGCGAAACAAGCAAGACACCAAAGCCAGTGACATAGCATGCACCATCAAGACAGCAAATCCTAATAAATATTGCAAAATTAGCTAAAGCCATAATAGACTGAAAAAACCCAAGATGCACCTGACATGTCCTAAAGACAGAGGTTAAAAGTTCAAACATAAGGAAGCCTAAAGAAGTCTTCATCAAAAGACCACCAGAAGACTGAGGATCACAAAGAAACTGACGCGGGTGTGAAAACAACAAACTCTCATAGAACCATGACACAGCTTTACACAAATATGGGTATCCTAATGATACCTTGTAAGTGTGACTTTACATTTTAGAATCAAACAGAAGCCAAAACGACATTGAGTGAGGTTTGGAAGAGAGATTCACCTCACTCCCAGGTGAATAAACAAACACCTGCGCTGTAGCCCTCTGAATATAGAATTTTGTTCTCTTACCCAGCTTTGCGCTTCACATCTACCTCCCCTCAGGAACACTCATGGTCCCTCAGCAGCACATGGGGTTTACATTCATATTCCCTCAGTGACCCTTACATCCCCTCAGCATCACCTGGAGAGCAACCTCTCCCTCATTGGTCACTGTGGTCCTTACAGATTACCTCAGGAGTTCTTTCCAAGTATTCTGTCAGTCCCTTGCAGATTACCTTACATTTTACCCCCCAAAATGGTCATTCTGGCCATTAAAAATGACCTCAGGTGTTATCACAAAATTTTCTCTGCCCAACCTCTCCAAATTACCTCAGACCTTTCCCCAAAACGAATTTTCCCCCCTAGAGATAGGTTTTTCTTCCAAAAAATGTCCACTACATGATTGCCCCAGATTACTGCAGCTTTTGTTCCCACACTCCTCAATTTTCCTCCAAAATGTTCACTCCATGCTCTCTAGGTGATGCCAGGGAATTCTAGCATTCCTCCCCCATGAAGTTCTTTTTCTCCCCTCTGACTTATCTCTTACTCCCGCAAACCGAAACATCGTGCAGACGCGTGAGGGCCGTCCATTCCTCCTCTGCCTCACGCCAGGGGCTGCCCGAGGGCGCCTCCCTGCCCACGGGCGGCTCCCCGCCTGACGCCTCGCCGAGAGCGGCAGCCACAGCGGCTTCGGGTTCCCGCCCTCAGCGCTGAGGGGACCTGAGGGGCGAGGGCACCGCCCCGGGCGGGAACAGCGCCTTGTGGTGCCCCTCAGCAACACAGCCCTCATCCAGCTGCTCTCAGAGATCCTCACACCCCCTCAGTGACCCTCACACCTCCTCATCATCACTAGGGTCACCCACCTCTCCTTTAGTATTCATTCTGCTCCGCATAGATTACCTCAGATTTTTCATTCCAAAATGTTCTATTCCACTGAGATTACCTCAAATTTTCCCTTCATAATGTCTTCATCTACATCTGTATCCTACCTCCGATTTAAGCCCCAAAATGCCACCTAATGATTATCTTGGGTTTTGTCTCTAATATGTCCAATATTTTTCCCCTTACTGATTAGCCTCAGATTTTCCCTCAGAAATGTTCCCTATTGGTCCCGTAAAAATTATCTCAGATGTTGCCTTTAAACACATTCATTTACTCCCCTGCTGATTACCTGAGGGTCTACCTTTAAAATTTTCTTTCTCCCCTTTAAAAATTACCTCAGGTTTTTGTCACAAAATTTTCTCTGCCTATCCTTCCCAAGTTACCTCAGACTTTTCCCGCCTTTTCCCAAAACCAACTATTCCCCCTAGAGATCCTCTTAGATTTTCCCACCAGAAATGTATGCTAAATGTGTTGCAGTGACTGCCACTGTCCAATGGATATAAAACTCCTCAATTTTACTCCCAAAATGTTGATCCCCTGCCCTACAGATGATGCCAGGGAATCCCATTCCTCCCCTCTGAAGTTCTTGCTGTCCCCTCTGAGTTACCTAAGCATTTCCCCTCAAACTGAAACACCATGCAGTCCTGTGACAGTACAGGCCATTCCATTTTTCACCACAAATTCCCTGTTCTTGGTTTTCCAATTGTCCACACCCATTCCTCCCCAGTGTGACATTTCTTATAGTTCTTTCATTCCCACCGCCAGGTTAACAATCCCTATTTTACAAATCCATTTTAGCTGTGCATCACAGTTTTAGTTCTCTTCCTAGCATGTGTCTTCTTCATTATCCTGTCCTATTTTCTCCCCTTAGCATTCAAGTAACCTTCTTCCAGCGTGCTCTGTCATTCCCTATAAGCATCCCCAATGACATCAAAAGATTTTCTTTCCTCTTCCTGAAAATAAAGCACTTCTGGATACTTTCTGGACAAACTCAGTTTGGGAATGTAGCAGGGGCACTTTGACCCTCAGTCAGGGTGATATGTCTGTAGCCCTCACAAGTGACCCCAGAGCCATAACCACAGTGTTCTGTCATTCCCATGACCAGAGATCTCAGTCAACATCTTGAGAATATTTAACGACTGAATTCATTACAAATCCATTACAAATGTGCAATTATTATTTTTTTATTTAAGGCTGTAAATATAAACACTTATGTAGAGTTTTGGTACCTGAAGAGAAAGAGTGTTCATCTGAATCAAAGGCTACCATCTTCTTCTCCTGATAAATTTTAGCCTTCACTCCAGACTTTAGGAAAGTTAGAGACAGGTTTACCACAGTGCTTTGAAGGCTTTTTTGTACCTTGAGAGCATTGTTTAACAGCCTCATCTCTAGGATGGCTCTCAGCCAGAGAAACTGCCAGAGGACTGTGGGGAGACAAAGGCAAACTCTCACACAGCTTCAGAGCTGCTGGGAGAAGAGAATCTCATCCATTGATTTTCTCCCAAAATAGCACCCGCTGGCAGGTGCTTGCCGGACCAATACGTGTGGTGTTTCCATCACTTATTGAGATGAAGTCTGGTGCCAGGAGTCCTGGGGTGGTTTCTCTGACAACCATAAGACACGCACAACGGAGATGCACATGACTTTTCAGGTGGTGTTTTAACTCCTCTGAAACAATGAGCTGCACCATCAGAACTCAAGATAAATAAAACCTAGGTGTACAGCCAAATGGTGAATGGCATTTATGTTCAAGGGCAAATTTGGGGTGAGTCTGAACACAGCCGTCTGCAGTGTCCCGAAGGGGAGAGAGCTCCTCCTGGAGACGCGCGGCCACCCACTTGCCCCGCCCCGGCCTGTCCTTCCTCAGCCCTACCCGCGGCCGGGCAGCGGCCTGCGCCCATCGGGGCCCGGGCAGCCCGCCCAGGTGCGGAAGGCGGCCAAGCCCCGGCTGATGAGGCGGAGGCGGCACTGCAACGAGGACCCAGCTGCCCGCCGGCAGCGGCCCTGTGGCGGCGAGCGCCCAGGGCCAGCGCCGACCCCCGCACGGGCGTTGCCCCTCGGAAGCTCGTCGGAAACAGGGACTCCGGTGCCCATCCCGCAGCTCGGTCCTGGGGCTGCACGGGGGCGGCCACGGTGGTACCGGCGCTCGCTGGCTCAGCCAGCCCCGCACTGCACAGCGCCGCGTCCAGATGCGCCCGCCCCCGGCGACCGGATTGACAGCGCTGAGAGCCAATCGCCCGTGACGAATCTCGGCAGCTGCCCAATCACCGCTCCGGAAATAGGATGTGGGCGGTGCCCCGGGGGACAGCGGGCTCGGTGGCGCCGCGGCCGAGGAAGGGCGAGCGCGGGGGCGGCGGCGCGGGCGAGCGCGGCCGGGCTCCGGCCGGCACTGCCGCAGGGATGGCGGCGGCCGCGGCGAGGGGCTCAACCCCCATGGGGAGCGCTGCGAGCCGCCCCGTGACCCGCTGAGCGCCCTCCGCCTGCGCGCTGCCGTTACCCCTCCCCGCGGGCCGGACCGGCTCTGCAGTCGCCATAGAGACCGCGCCGCACGCCATGGGGCGGAGGCTGGGCCGGGGGGCGCCGCTGTAGCCCCCACCCCGCGCCGCGCACACCATCTCCTGTGGGGCCGGGGGTGCCGCCGGGACTCGCCGCCCCGCCTCGAGGAACCGCCGCCTCGGCCCCATTCCAGGTGAGGATTCGCGGTGCTGCGCCGCGGCCGCCGCCGTTACCCCGCGCCTCGTCCCCGCGGGCGCTCTGGCCGCCTCGGCGGGGCGCGGCCCGCGGGCTCCGGCGGCCGCCGGCCCGGCCCCAGCGGCTGCTGCGTGGGAGCCGCGTCGCAGTTTCTGTCCCCGCGGGAGAGGGAGTTTGCCGGGCGCGGGAGCTCCGGGGACCACGGCCCGCCCCGGGAAGGGCTTATTCCAGCGGGGCAGGACGGCGCGATCCCCTCCGTGGAGTTAGGTCGGCAGGTCTGGCAGGCTCCAGTAGCAGTCACCGCTGTCCCGGCCTCTACGGAGAACTCAGATTCATAGGCATGAGATTTTTTTTTTTTTTTTTTTTTTTGTTGTCCCTCCCACTTGGTGCAAGAAGGCAAATGGTACAGAAATTTACGTGTTCTGACGGCGAAAGATTTCTGTTTTAAAATAGCTGCGTCTGTATTTCCAGCTCTGGGTTGTGGCATGCGTGTGACGGCTGCTGTGTGGGCACGGCTGGATGGGAAGCGGGCTGTCTGTCGCCTGGCGCTCTGAGTGCTGGAGCCATTAGCGGCACTTGCATCGATCCGTGCATACAGATATTCCTGGCTAGGCCGCGGGTGCGCGCACCACGGCGCTCCGGGGAACACAAACTGCGTGTGGAACGGCGTTAAAAAGACGTTATTGCACGTACTTTTAGCTTTACAAAGAGGAAGTGGGAAAGCACCTGGTTCCCAAGTCTTCTGATGATCTCTGGAGCTGCAGCGGCATCCTTAGGCTTCTGTTGTCACTCTAGAGCAAAAGCAATGAGAGGACAAAGATTGCTACGAGGTTTGTAACCTCTGCTGTGAGCCAGAGCAGTTGAAAACAACTGCTAGTGTAAGTGGGGGTGGGAGTGCAAATAATTATAATATTGATGTAGTGTCGTGGGAGGCGGAGAGAGATGGACACAAAGGAATGACCCTGGAGCATACCACAGCATTTTGAGAACCTTCTACTGTATTTATAGTTAAGCTGAAAATGGCTATAGAAAATTAGTTGTAAAATAGCCTGTAGTGGCTCTCTTAGTTAGACTTTATGTGCAGAACCAGTGTAATTTCAGCTTAAATGTTCTGAATTAATAAACTGTATTGCGGGAATGTTGAGAGCCTTGAAATAAATCATACTCTATTTATTTAAGTATCTTGTTAGCCTTAAAGTGTGTGGTTAGTTTTTGTGTTATGATTCTGGAAAGAATGAGTAGATTTTTAAAATTCATTCTGTGTAGTTAATGCCATGCCTCTGTTGAACACATGCTAGCTATGCTTGTAGGTATGTTAGTTCATTTTAAGAACAGAAGGGTTGAGAAAGCAAAAGGTTAGGATGTATTTTGCTACTCTTGTTTGATTTTGGTAATGTTTTTTGAAGTCTTTATTGTATGAATTCATGGCAAAAAGATACCCAGCATTTTTATTTTGTGTTAATGTTGTCTTGAATACTTTTTTGATGATAATTCATTTGCTTTATAGAGTGAATTATGTTTAACAAACTTTCTTAACTTATTAAGCCAGAGGTATACTTGTTAACATTTGTTTGGCCTGTCAATGAAATTATATATAGGAAAGTTTGACTGCAATAGTATGAGTAGTCATTTGTCAAAAGTTATTTTGAAAACAGTTCATCAAGATGCAGTTTAAAAAATGTGGAGATGGAACCAATTATCCCTAAAAAATACTTTGTTCTTCTCTAATATAATATATTCCTGATGTACCATTATTTACTTGAAACTCAGCATCTTTTTAAACTTCCTGTTTGGGAAGGATGAAGTTAGAATAAGAAGAACAAATTGAGTGACTGGAATATTGTGACATTGCTTATGTTTAGTGTGGTCACTGTACTGCTGCTGCATGCTGCAGGCTCTGATGCTTCTAACATCACAAATTCCAGAGAGGCTTTTCTCAATCTGGCTGATTATATCAAGAAGATTTTTGAGTATGACAGATGAGAGATATGAGTGGGGTTTTCCTTGTTCAAAACTGGTTTCTAAACGATCAGTTTCTACCAGTGCTAGATATTTGTGTACAGAAGGTTAAGCATTTGTTCAGTGTGTGAAGTTGCAGTGTATGGTATGTTAATATACTACTGTATTTTCTGTTTTAGTAAGGGCTTGTTTATCTAGTGGGAGTGAATTGGTACTTTACAAAGGAGATTGACAGTTTCTGTGTGTTCCTGTGTCTTGCCTTGTCTGTTTCTTTTTCTCTGGGGAAGCACTACACAAAGCCTTTGTGTTAGGCTGGAGGGGAGGAGAAACAGCTGCCTTTTCAGTAGGAGACCCCAGGATTAGTTGTGGTCTCCCAGGGATGCGTTGTGGTACACGGACCAGCCATTGTCCTTCCTCCCTCATTCTGCGAAAACGCTCTCACCTCAAAGGAGAGCTTCCTTTGGCTGGTCTCTCAGAGCAGAGAGTTGTGCCATGGATCTGTAGCAGATCAGTCTGAAGCATTGTTAAATTGTTAAAGCATTGGTGGGCAAGAATTAAAACATGCAAAATTGCCAAAATGCAAGGTTTATCTTAAGGAATTTAAGAGCTACGGGTCATGTGTGTTTAAAATTTTCTTGCTATGAACCTGACTTCTTGTTCAGGATTAGGGTGAAAGAAACTTTCTCAAGTCTTTTACTTGGCTTTTTTTTCTTTTTAAAAGTATAGTATCTAGGGTAGTTAAGTGGTAATTAAACATGTTAATTTTTAGAAGTGGAAATAAAAGCTATTTCAGTTGGATAAGAGAGTACAGCTACATGGAGCAGTTTCATTTTTCTGCTTTCCATGCACAAGTAGAGTGCTCTAATGCTTGTACTGTATTCTCTGTCATGCAGTGGCAGAATGAAAGAGAGAAGTTGGCGTGCCTCGTTTTGTTAGAAATATTGAGTACTATCTCATGTGGATTTTAGTAACTATATCTTGTATGTTCTTTCATAATAACTTCTTTGAGAATATCATCCAGTCTTTACTTATCCTTTAAAACTTTAATTATTTATTTACATTTTAGAGTCAGAATATTCCCCTCTCCTTGCTTCAGGGCTAGGTGTTCAGTAGCATTCTTTTGAGGGAATCTAGTAACTTGGATTTTTTTTTAAGCTGCTTGTGAAATTCAGATGCCATTCTTAGCCATTTAAATTTATAGTCTATCATTCTCTGTAGGAGCTTATAGGTCACTAGTCTTGAAACCTAAGTAGTGGAAAATTCAAGCAATAAAATCTGGCCTTCTGATACTTTGCCTCTTGATCTGGTTGAGAAATCTTTTTCCCATTTTTGAGATGTTGTGCAAGTCATAACTTTTCAACAGTTATTTTTAAAATTATTTTTCAATTAATGGAGATGAATCCTGGAAAACTTGAGAAGGTTTTTGGGGAGAAGGGAAAGATTTAACCTGAGAGGAGTGAGGAAAGGAGGGCAGATTGAGAAACTGAAGAAGTCTTGGGTGTTGTTAACGAAACTATTTTGTTAAAAAGTTAAAAATATTTTTATTGTTATGTTCAGGCATGTTTTTCTGTGGTTCTTGTCCTGTGTGTTTGAGAACTTTTCATCACAGAATTGCATCATTTAAATGTTATTTTGTGCTGTTGCTTATTGTCTGAAGAGATTAATCAACGATTAAGAATTGCACTGATGAGGAACTGTATCCACTAATTCTTTCTTTTGGAGAACTGTATGTAGCTTAGCCTTGCATTTAAGTGCAAGTAGTAGTTGGAAGAGGTGAAGGCCTCTTTCAGGGATGAAGTTTGCCGGATCACTGATGGTACTGATGAGGAGAGTAATTTTCTTTCCTGTATAAAGCTGTCTGATGCATAAAGGAAGAGTAAAATATGCTGAACTTGCTTTGAGAGCTTGTAGAGGATGTCAAGTTTCTTTAATATGTTGCCATATTTTTCTATTATGGTGTTACAAAGGGACTTGTTACTTGTTGCAGGGACAGGTTACTAATGTGGAGTTTGCACGCAGAAAAATGTAAAAAACCAGATTTTGTGTCATCCTAGTCTGTTTATACAGAAATAATTTTATTATGTTTTTGATACATTTCTCTCACAACTGAAGTTATACAAAATTTGTTCCACTAGTCTCATCCACAGATAGGAGAGATCTTGCCTTTCAGAGCTTGCGTCCTTTTAGTAGTTGGGAATTGTCTTCAGTCAACAGCTGCCTATTGATTCTGAGAGGGGGTTAGTTCTGCTCTCTGTCACTTCCCTGATAATTCTTAGATAGTATTTGTTGCTTTTGTCATGCTCTGTCTCAGAGTACTAACGTTTTGTGAGGGTTTTAACCGCACTTATTTGATACAATGTTGTTCAACATAGTAAGAATTAGATTGCTTGGTTACATGGTGTATCAGCAGGATGTATCTTGTAGCTGTCAATTTACTTGTTGCCATAGTAATGCTTCAAATGCCACTCGTGGCAAGCAGTGTGACTTTGAGCACATGAAGTATGACTCTAGCTTTGCAGTGTTGAAGAATTAGAAAAAAAGGGAGACAGTGATCTGTAAATAGAATATACTTTTCAGCATCAAACTGGTGACTTTTTAGAATGTATTTGTATTCTTGAGTTATATGCTGCCTTGAAAGAATTATTTTCTTGTCTTTCATTTTTCAGCATCTTGAGCTTAATAGATCTAGAATGGGCATTATAAACTGATAGAAAATGTATCAGACGAAGAATGACTTTGTATTCCTTGAGTTTGATTGAATTAAATGCCCTGTTCATATGTGATGCTTTGATTTTCCATCTGCAGTAGTCTATAAATAAAATCAAAGTATAATTCCCTGGGTCAAGTCAGCCTAGAACAAACTGTCATGTTGCACTCTGAGAGTTAAAGAAGAGGATTGGATCACTGTTCTTTTTCTGTGTGACGTTTTGTGCTTTTTCATTAAGATCTAGAGATTATTCTGATAATCGTGATGATTTTAGGTGAAATTACAGTTCTACAGTTTTGAGCAAGACAATGTATCCAGTGAGAAAGCCAGTT